AGTTTTAGCCAAATGCATTATAATATAGTATAGATTACTTAAAATTCAAAATTACAAGTTGTTAGTGTATGAGTACAACTAATTACAGCTCTATGTTCAAATTCGTGTAACTAACTATAGATAAACATAATCAAATACATGATAAATATCATTGTAAGATATAAAAAATCTAAAATATAATTAAGATAATCATTGAGTTCTAACAGAATATTTAATTATTATCTTAAAAAATTATTTTATTAAATAAAAAATAAATTAGTTTGTTATTAATCTTCAGTTAAATTATAACAAAAAATTGAATTACAGAAATTACACAAAAACGAGAACTTTTAAATAGTTAATTTGATACTAGTATCACTTATTTTTTTTAAAAATTTATAATATCTTTAAATTTATATTTCGTTTAACAATAAAAACATTTTCTTTTTCTCAAAACCACATAAAATTGCAGTATAACATCGTAAGACCCAAAATATAAAACGGAACATTAAAATCAAAATGAATCTCGTTGCATTGCACGGTACTCTTCTAGTAATTATTGATAAGAATAATAATTATATATTCTGTTAGAACTTAATTATTATCCTAATTATATTTGAAATAAAATGTTTTTCTTGTATTTGATTATGTTCATTTGTAGTTAATTACACGAATTCAAACATGAAACTTCAGTAACTTGTACTTCCGTACAACTTATTAATAATCTTGAATTTTAAGTAACATACATCAATAAACAATACTTATAGAGAGAGAGTGTGTGTGTGTGTGTCTCTCAGAGAAAACAAAAAAGAACTGAAGAACATCATAATAATCATTCATCTATATAATATGCACATATGATATAAATAATTTAAGATTTTTTTGTCTAGATCCAGATAAATTATTTATATGCATACATACATATTATACAGATAAATAGTTATCAAGATATTACTTTTTCATGATTATTTCTTAACATGGCCATGTATTTGAAAAAAAAAAGATTAAAGATGAGTAGGGCAGGTCCCTCAGTGGGTACTACAATCCCCATCTCAAAACACGTTTTTGTTTTTTTTTTGTCCGTCTCTTGATTAATTCAACGGCGTCTATCTTGCAATCTGTCTCTTTCAATATAAAAACAAAAAGTATCAGGTTTTGACACTTACAAAGTTGATTACAGCATTTTGGTCTCCTCGCATTTAAAACATGTGTGGATTTTTAAAAGACGTACCCTATTTTTCGAGATGACTCGGGCTATGTTTGTGATAAATTTTGACTGTAAGAAATCAACCATGATAATGGTTCAGCGGCTACAATTATTGTATACGTTTAGAATCGAACTCTGAAAAGATGAAATATTACGCCATATTTCACATAATCTCAACCACTACATCATAACCCTCGTGGTTAAAAATGCACGTTGTTCTTGTCAAATAATTTTATCTTACAGACAAAAATATCCTAAAAGCATCTAGATATGTATTTCCAAAACAATTGCATTTGTTTATACTGTTATATTCGTATTCGTATTTGGCAGTTTTTTTTTGAAGTATATAATATTTATATATGACAAATGCAACAAATAATTTTGTATCCTAGACATCCCTTAACCTTTTAGCGTCCTAAGTTCATTGTAAACAATTACCAAACAATTATAATTCATTTTGCACTATATCATGAGAGTCTTTTAATCATTCTGCACCAAGCCATTCACCAACTGCCAAACAACCCCTTAAAGAGAAAGAGAGAAAGAGATGAGAAGTAGGAGTTGTTAAAAACCGAAATCGAATACGAGTCGGAATCATGAAGTATAACGAGAATTGTGAATGTTTTTTGCGTTTGTAGTTGGTATCTTTCCCATACACCATATAACTTATATAGGGCCGTTTACCAAACACTTACCAGGTAAGTGCTTACCAGTAAAATTTAACACTATTATTTTCTTACCAGGTAAGATTTTAGTCCACTGAAAGTCCGAATCGACAAAGTATACAACAATTTACACAGTAATCGCTTACTGTGGTAAAAGTCTTCGCTATCACTTACCGGGTAAGACTCGTGGTTCTTGTCTCGCTCTTACCGCGTAAGATTCATGGTCTTTACCATATTCATCTAATGAAGTAATGTGATTTCGTAAGCGTTTACCTGAGTAAGTGTTTGGTAAACGGCCCCATAGTGTATAAAGGGTAAATGCGATAAAAAAACAAAAATGGAAAGAAAAACGGTCATATGAATGTTCGACAACGGCTATTTTTTTGAAAAATCGAGACAGTCTCAGGCACGGCCCATAACCGGTCCGAAACCAGGTCCAGTCCAAGTCGTGCTGAGACTTGTTCTTTGACGAAAACCATAATCGGTCCTTAACCGTCGGTCCCAGTCGATCCCGACAGAGCTGGTCCGGGCCAGGCTGGGCCCATTTTGCCATCTCTAAAGCCGAAAGTGAAAGTTATTTTGATTCATGCGAAGAAAAGTTGGAAAAGGAAATATTGTAAAAGCCAAGTCCAACAACAACAACAACCATTTTACAGTGCCGTTAGGCTCGGCCCAGATAATCAAAAGCCCAAATGGCAGGCATCGCATCACCGGTGGATCCCTACTTTTCGCTCGGCGACGGACTCACGGTGTCACCGCTCGCTCACCTGCTCCGGTTCCGATTCCGGTTCTCCAAAACCAGGTGAATAAATCAACTTAAACTCTTGACTCTTCCACAGTTCCACTGTTCAACACACTCGATTGACTACATCCTCGCCTTGCAATTGTGTTTTGATTTGATCTGGACTTACTGGTTTGATTTCTGGATTTCCGATTCTCGTTTGATTGTTGTGTTTCGGTTTGAGATCTGTTTGTTCTGGTATTAAGTTCTGGTTCTGCCGTTTATGGACTTCTGACATTGAATGTTGTTCGATTTTGGATTTTGGTGTTGAAATATGAATTGGATCCCAGAGTTTAATAGATTATAATTCAATTAACTATTCTCAGAATCAGTAACTCACTTTTAGCAGATTCTACATAGATTGAAGTGTTATATTTAACCAAAATTCATCTCTCCTAGAATATTTGTGTAATTGTTTTTTGATGTGAGGACGAAATTGTGTATTGTGTTTCCATTTGAGAACGAAATTGTGTCTACTGTTCATGTTTTTGAATGTCCTATGCCAAACATACCTGTGTCTACTGCCTAGAGTACACTCATGCCTTCAAAGTTTAATATCCTTTTTTATATTGTTGTTTATTTCTATATAATTATGGGTACCACATATGTAAGACTAGAAAAGAGACTTGTGTTGGTTATTCTCTATTTCAACCCCCTTTAGCAAGACAAGAACCACATCCCACAATTTCTCCTTTCTCTCGTATGATATCCTGTGACTGCCTCTAGTGGCTCAATGAATTAACTGTATCCTTTGACCTAAGGTGTTTGCTGATATAGACCAGTCATTGTTTAATTTTTTTCAAGAATTATGTTTTTATAGCCTGGAAGTTGAAGATCACCACAGTTGTCATGATTTGTTGGACTAAATTTGGGAATGAACATGATAACATTCTTATGGATGCCACTCGACTTTGAAAAGTCCGAAGGATATTAGAGACTATATTCCATTATATATAGCATCTTTTCTGAATGTTAATTTCACAGTGGTTGTCATAATGTTTCTTTAGTGGCTCATCCATGTTAAATTGGTTGTCCCATTTCACATCCCTCAGATTGATGCCTTCTGTTTTGCAAGGGAAAAATGAAGTGAAGTTTGTTGGTTAGTATCTGTATGAGGTATTTACTTTGGTTGGGTGTATCAAGATGTACAATGTGTGCTTAGTCATTGTTTTTTCTTGTTGAACGTTTTGTGATACTTGGTGGTTGTCTTTTTTGTTTCAAATGCTGACTCAAACATCAAGGATTTTGTTGGGGGCATTTTTTAGGCTTTCCACCCTTGGCATCATAAACCCCAGGACCGGCCCGTTTAGGCCCAAATACCTGAACTAGTTTTTGTCACAGCAACTCTGCGTCAATTGGTAATCAAAGGTAATGGCAGTGATTCGACGGATGTGGCAGTGTCTCTCATCAAAACCACTGGCCGGAGAGTGCTTCAGGCTTGGCAGAAGCAACCCATTTCATCATACTAGAATCCCAATTGCTGGTTCCCGACATAAACCCATTTTAAACCCAGGGTGTCCTCAATCCAAGCCCACGATTAACGTGAACTTCATCACGACTAGTAGAGGTTTCAGCTCTCCTACTGCTCGGACTGGGGCGGGTTGGTTAATGGGGTTGGGCAATAAGAAGAAGATTATAGGTTTGCCAGCTATCGTTAAAGCTGGTGACCCTGTTCTTCATGAACCCGCTCGAGAAGTCTCAATTGAAGAAATAGGGTCAGATCGTATCCAGAAGATCATTGATGATATGGTGCAGGTCATGAGGAAACGACCTGGAGTTGGGCTTGCTGCTCCCCAAATTGGTATTCCTTTAAAAGTGAGTTTTTTTCTTTTTTTTTCTTTTTGCAACTAAGATACCAAATTCTCCATTAATTATGCTTTTTTGAGTTTAAATTTTAAGAACAATTGATGTCAATTTAGACCACTTTTCCCCCTTTTCGGTGCTATTAGCCATTCTTTTAATGTTTATAATCCATATTAGTCTAAAGTTGAAAATGTAAACATCTATTGGCTTCCATCTCAAGATCAGTCAGCAGTGAGATTGTAATCAATTAATTTAGCTCATTATCGATTCACGAGCAGATTATTGTGTTGGAGGACACTAAAGAATACATAGCGCATGTACCAGAGGAAGAGAACAAGGCACAGGATAGACGCCCTTTCGATCTTTTGGTATGTTAGTCCACCTTCAAAACCGAGTAACCCCATTTCTTACTCTCTCATTGTGAAAGTTCTTTGATTGGTTTCTTGAAATGTAGGTTATTTTGAACCCAAAGCTTAAAAAGAAGGGCAACAAGTCGGCATTGTTCTTCGAAGGCTGCTTAAGGTGAGTTTATTGGCCTTTTTTGTTCTTCATCAATCGATTAACTTCAATTCTTCAATGATATTGCTAATGTTCTAATTCTTTCGGGCAAGGGATGTTCTATCCTACTTCCAAGTACCCTGCCATGCTAAAAATTCTTTGACCTTTTAGCATTCAACCTTTTCACTACAGCTAATACATGGTTTGTGATTGTGGGTCTCATTTAATTGAACAAAATTGAAATGGCGTCGAGAAATACAAGAAACACTAGGGGAGGATCTAGAAACCTAAAACCAAACCAAGCGAACCTAGTGAATCCCGCAGCACATTAAAAGTTCATCTTGATTCTAGGTTTCATGTTTGGCAACCATAAGCTAGCTTATTGAATATGGCCCGTTTAGTTAGGCATAAGCTATTTCAGCAGCATTTTATAAGCTCCAGGGGATTTTTTTCCACTTTTTTCAATTCTGGCCCTTCTATTATCCCAATAAAATTTTAAACATGTCCTTTTAGGTCATTTTACATTGTTACAACTTATCAACTAGTTCTTTTTCCTTCCAAACATATACTAGTTTATCGGTATCGACTACCAGCTAATTTATCAATCATAAGCTAGCATATCAACTAGTTTGCCAAATATAGCTTAAATTTTGTAAACACATTGGGAATGGTGATGGTTCTTTGTTGGCATGATTTTTCAGTGTAGATGGCTATAGAGCAATGGTGGAAAGGTTCTTGGAGGTAGAGGTTAGAGGGTTGGATCGAGATGGGAAGCCCTTGAAGGTGGATGCTTGTGGGTGGCAAGCTCGTATCTTACAACACGAATGTGATCATCTAGACGGAACTCTGTATGTTGATAAGATGGTGAAACGAACGTTCAGGACCATAGATAACTTAGACTTACCTCTTGCTAATAGTTGCCCGAAGCAGGGTGTCCACTAGCATGCCGGTTTCAAGATAATTTACTAGTCGAGATTGGTTTATCATTTGTGTTCAATACTTTTCCATTGATGTATGTACTCATTGTAATACAACAAAGTAACAGTTTACATACAACGCAATTCATTCATCTCAAATTTCATTCATTCTTGATTCAGTTTCATTCTTTATTTTCAGTTGTAGGTTTTATCGCACAAAACGGAGATGAAAACAAGATTCCGCTAAGCTTATATGAACGTAGAAGCAGCAGCAAGATTCGGGTGAAGAAAGAGTCCTTTGATCGGGTAATTTTCTACCCGATTACAACCTTCAATCCAACACCATTTCCATTTATCTTTATTATTATCTCTATCTCTTCGCCACACCACCATTCCCGAACCAATATCTCTATATAAACACACTCCCCCTTCAATTCCAACACATTTGGTGCCACCACCAACTAATCGTTTGCCGAATTCAACCGACATTCTTTCTATCACCTTCCAGTTATCCTCCTCTCCAAGCTCCCAAACTGTTACATCTCCATCGTGGCTCCCGCCAACCACCCTTAGCTTTCCGTCGTGTGGGACAAGGGCTGCAAATTCTAGCGTGTCACCCATTGGTACGCTGAGTTTCTTCCATTTATTGGTACCCATCTCATAGCCCATTATGCTGTATGCACGGGCTGAGGTCATCCAATATAGGACCCCACAAGAGTAGACACTCTCGTTTGGGGTCCATACTGTAAGCCTCACAGCAAACTCAACCGGCATGGATCCCATGAGGATCCAATTGTTAGTTCGAGAGTCGAACATTTCTAATGTTGGTTCGTAAGAGGCAGCACCACCGCTTGTTGCCTCAGACATTCCACCAGCCACGTACACCTTGAAGTGGCTGGTGGAAACCTCTATGACTCCCACTGCTGGATTGGTCCGGGGTTTTTGCAGAGACGGAAGGTGGCGGAATTGACCGGTAAATGGATTACAGACTGAGAGTCGTAGAGGGACACCACCACTCGGTTTGAAAAGGATCAAACCTTGGCTTCCGATTGTGGAGATGGGTCTGCTGAGACTAGGAACATTGTCCAGATTGAGCAAGTGCCAAGTGGTCTGAATTGGGTTATGGATGAAACACAAGTGGGTGGGGATGGTGGTGGTCCGGGTGGGTAACGCAATGAACCATGGTGGGTGGTGGTGGATGTTGGTGGTTGCACTGGTGGCAGAGTGGTGCCAGTGGTGGCAGGTGGCCATGGCACGAACCAAGGAGGGGGGAGGGAGGTAGGAGAAGATGTTGGCAAGCAGATCCGAAGGAAGATTGTTCCACATCTCTTTGGTGGATTGAAAAGGATGGAAGAGGGTGGGAGTTATAAATACACATCAATAATTGAGAGAGGCATCTCTGACCCTACATATTTCCTCATATAAATCAATAATACTAGCATATATATGTATATATATATATATATATACATATATATACACATATATATATACATACACACAGAGGGGGAGGGGGGGGGGATTAGGGAGAACCCTCTAAAAATGAAAAAGTGAAAACATTTTAGTAATCATTTAATAGTATGATATACGCATGTGCATATAAGTAATTGAAACCATCATTTGGTTTCTATGCATATGTGTATATTATGTGCACGTCGTATAAATTGTTTACAAATTACTTGTATATATATATATGCATATCTGTCCAAATGAATAATTATCAGGGTGTTACTCAGTTTTTCATTTTTTTTTATAATCTTACCTGAACCTGATCCTATATGTCCGTTTGGTTTAATCTAATGTTTTTGAGGATTTAAATTTTGTGGAAAAATTTAAGAATGAGAGCATTTAATTTGATAGGTTTGGTTTATAGCATTTAAGAATAGAGATGAATTTCATTTTATAAATGATTTGTACAAAATAAGTATTTTTAAGATATTTTAAAACATTATTACATATAAAATTTCATTAATATTTGTATGAAATCTTATTGAAATCATGAGATTTCAATTTTGGATTTTTCTTTAAATACAAACATAAACAATATTATATGTTAATATTAAAAATGTTGAAAGTTGCATGGAGATGTGTGCCTGGTGGAATATGAGGAGGCACATGGGAATTGGCATGTATCTATTGAATAATTAATGTTTATTGGTTCCTGCTGGAGACGAAAGGTCACATTTGAAGTAAAAATTTGTTAAAATCGCAAAAAAAAAAAAAAAAAATTATTTTAACATAGCTGTTGAAGATGCTTTTAAATATCAATTGAGATTGATTTAGATTCGTTAAGAGCATCTCTAAAATGGAGAAAACTGGGAAAAAAAAAAGAATTTTGAACCAATATTTTGTTCCAATTAATTTTCCAAAGCTATCTTCAAAATGGAGAAAGTAGAAGAGGGGTTTTTTTTTTTCTCAAAACATAAAAACACCCCAAAAATGATTATCAAGTGAGACCACCAATATAAAGTTTTGAAAATAAATATTTAGAGAAAGAAATAATATCTTAATAGATAAATGAAATATCTTAATATTATAATTAATATTGGATTCTCCAAAATAGGAATTCGTTGGAGATAAATGTAATTCTTTTTTAGAGATTTTGACTTTTGGTTCTCTATTTTGAAGAAATTTTGGGGAATCTAAGAGCATCTCGAACAGCTATGTTAAAATAGAAGGAAAAAAAATATGATAGAAAACTTTAACTTTTATAGAAAAATATCTAAAACTCTATATTTAAGAGAGAAATAATTTTTTTTATTTCTTTTCTCACTTGTAGGAAACATAGAAATTAAGTGGTTAGGAGAGAGACATAATATTTTATTATAATAAATATTTTAATATATAGTTAATGGTAGAATTGTTAAAATATGTAGTTATTGGAGTTGGATATAATTTTTTTAGAGATTTTAACTTTTGATAGTTTATTTTAAAAAAATAAAGAAAAAAATTGATTTTAGCAATTTTTTTGCTCGAACAATTATTTTATCTTATATACTAAAATAGAGAATAGAGGAGAGACCGTAAAAACCGTTAAATTTAGAGAAAAATTATTATTTTAATACTTCCATCACTAAGATGTATTTATAATAAATGTTTATAGAGAAAAATAATATTAAATATTTTAATAATATTATTAGTGTTAAAATTGTTAAAAAAATAGTACTTGTTGGAGTTGAATGTAATTTTTTATAGAGATTTTAATTATTAATATTTATTATAAAAAAAATATAACATAATCGTTGGAGATGTTCTTAAAATTTATCCATCAGGCCAATTTTCACAATTTTCAAATGGACTGGTTAAAGGGATCGAAAAAAAATCTTTTACACTCTAAATTTTTTATTTGAAACAAAGACAAATTGCATGAAAAAGTAACGTACTTTAACTTGATTCTTATTTTGAGTAACGTACTTTCAAAACTTTTATTTTATTAGAGGTGTGAAGATCAAGATATATTTTTTATGACTTTTAAAATGTAAAATTTTAAACATTTTAAGTACCCGGGTAACCAGTTGAAGCATTAACCAATTATCATACTGATGTGGTGAGTAATGTGGTATCCAACTCGATATTATTTGCTGACGTGGTTAATGACATCGACTTTTTAAATATAAAATTAGTCTTTAACCAATTACATGAATACTTAAATGTTAAAAATTTTACATCTTATATATTAAAATTGAAGTTTTGAAAATACATTACATAAAATATAAATTAAGTTAAAGGTACGTTGCTTTTTCATTTAATGTGTCATATAAAAATTAAGAGTAAATTGTGTTTTTATTGGGTTTAGAAATTACGATTTTCATCCTTATAGTTTGTAACTTATTATTATTTTCGTCCTTATGATTTACAATTTATTATTGTTTTAGTTCTTGTGGTTTACAATTTTTATTGTTTCGGTTCCTTGTACTTAAAGATAGGAATTAGAGGTGCTCCCCATGCGGTCTGAGTATTTTCCGAAACCGCAAACCACACCGCATATAACTCAAACCGCAAAAAACCGCACCGCGAAATGCAGTGTAGTTTATGAGCTTTCTACATAACGTACTATGCCTACAATCCAATAATTATAAGAATAAAACTTCATTAAAAAATCAATGATAACGTGATCGCAATCCAAACAAATAAAAAGTTTAAATACGACCAATTTCCAAATACATATTACACAATAAACAATAAGTAAAAAGAAATTCAAACAAAAATATTGCATAAATTAGCCAATTATTCTATACAAATTAATATATATAATGTGTGGTGCTGTGCGGTTTGAACCGCAGTTTGCTAACTCAAAACCAGAAACCACACCGCATAGTGCGATTTGGTAAAAACGTAAACCACAAACCACACCGCAGGCGTAGAAGTTCCAAATCGCGCTTTGCGGCGTGGTGTGGGCAGTTTATGCAGTTTAGATGAAGACCTCAAATAGGAATAAATCGAGAGATGAAAATAGCAATAAATTGCAAATCATAAGAACGGAAATCACAATTTCTAAACCACAAGAATGAAAGTCGTAATTCTACGTTAAAGATAAATACGCAAAAGAAGGATGAAGATAAAACCCCAATGACCATTCAAACCACAAAACTCTGAAAGGTCTCGTTTCGTGATGAATCAGAACAAAATACCCTTTGCAAAAACAATTACAATATATAATATCCTCATAGAAAAGATGAAAAGTATTCCTAAAGAATGAATAGGGTTTAGGATTTAAGGTTTAATTGATCAAAGGACCACTTGCACCTTTCTATAGATTCATATATCATCACTAGTCTAGTGAAATAAACCGAACTAAATGAACCTAATATATCTCAACTGAAAGTAGAGTCTGAAAAGAGGTAGGATGCTGGCAGACCTTCCTTCAACCACTACTCCGGTGAGGTCATGATCATAATACATCATTGTGTATTGTGTCATCCCATCCTCCACAAACCCTACTTTCAAATGAGATATACTAGATTCATTAAGTTGGTTTGGTTATTTCTTAGGGGATGTTTGGTTGGTTTTCCATTAAGTCATGTATGGATAAGTCTGTCTGTGGATTAATCAGTCTATTTAGATTGGAAAGGTTTTCGTTTAATAGAGTTTATTGATAGATGAAAGGAACATGTTTTTTAATTAAGGGGGACAAGTTTGGAAAAACAAGCCCTTAGTCTGTGGCTGGGTGTCTGCATAAAGCTCCTTCTTAGAAGTAAGCCACTTTCTACATCAAGCCACTATCAAACAGTCATGTGCAGCTGACTGAATAAACTGTGAGTCCCATTGGACCATCCTGCACCTTCCACATCCCTGCATTATTCTGGAAAATGAAAACAAGCCAACAAAATTCATGTTCCTTTATCTTCTTTGTTTTTTAGTCATTGTCTACACCTTTTAGTGATGAATAACACTTCTCTCTGCAAGTTGGAAGGGTCAGAAGACAGAATGACAGTCACAAAGATTCCTTCCACATCTTCATTTGTAATATTGTCTACACCTGTGTTTCTTTCTTGATCTGAGGTTGGCTTTTATGGGTGAATTCGAAAGGGGGACTCCATGGATTGCTGACATGGAGCTCATTTGACAACAAGTTACAAGATTTTGCATAATTTGCAGGTGGGTTTCCTTCTTTATGGGCTTTTGATTTGAATCATTGCTAGTTTTTTCTTGTTGAATTAGGAAAGTTTATGAAAGGTTACTATTCATGGGTTTATAGAGCTGATAAAGCTCTTGGTACTCCATGAAAGCTATCTTCATCTGTAGTTGGACATCGAAAGAGAAAGGAAAGATGTCCTTCCACACATTGATTTACTCGTCACATTTGTTGGGCAAATTAAACAAGCAAAAGATTCTGCATAAAACAAGGATGAATCCAGTTCTAGTTGTAACCCCAGTTCTAGTGAGGGATAATAAATCCCGCTCTACGAAAAGTTTCAGCGTAAATTCAGCTTCAGTGAATAGTATGAATCCTATTAAAGGTTGCTCGTTATCTCAGCCAGATGCTGTGGGAATAATTGGAGGTGTGTCAGCTGATGCCACACTGGATTTTGTTAGAAAGCTTGTAAACTGGAGCAATGAGGATAAAGAAGACGGCAATGGCCTTCCCTTTGTTCTTTGCTCAGATATGGTTTTAAACAAGAGCCTTTTACGCCATGATCATTCTTCACAGGAGAATGATTACACGCAAATTGTGGAAAATTTGAGACATAAAAGAGTTTTTCTTGAGAGATCTGGGGCTTGTTGTATTGTGATGCCTTGTCAGACATCACATTCATGGTATGATGAAGTTTCAGATGGGTGTTCTGTTCCTGTACTACATATGGGCGAGTGTGTAGCAAAGGAGCTTAAGGAAGCTAAGTTAAAGCCACTTGAAGCTGGAAGTCCTTTGAGAATTGGGGTTCTTGCCACTGATGCAACTCTAAAAGCAAGATTCTATCATGATAAACTTCAGAAGGAGGTAACTAAATGAGCACTGGATATTTATAAAGATCTTTTGGTATATATTACTAGTGCCGATAGGTTTTCAGATGTATCTTTTAAGTTCTACATTCTCCATGCATTCGTCTACAAGTCATATATTTGCTATTAATTCCTGTGTGTTTCAAAATGCAAATGCAGGGCTTTGAGGTTGTGATGCCAGATAAAGCCACAATGGAACATACAATAATCCCATCAATTGAAGCCATAAGAAGAAAAGACATAGAAGGAGCACAAAACCTGTTGAGAATTGCGTTACAGGTGCTTCTTATGAGGGCTGTGAACACCATCATCCTTGCATCAGATGATATGAGGGAACTTTTGCCACGGGATGACCCTCTGTTAAGAAAATGTGTTGACCCACTTGATTCATTAGCCAGGTCAACCATCAAGCTCGCTCAATCTACCGTGAAAGATTCTTAAAGATTGCATACAGAAGAAATAGAGGATTGGTGCATCATTATTTTGTGTACTGCTAATAAAATAAATCTTGATACCATTTGTGATTCTTTCTCAGTAAGCCCTGAGTTATAAAGAAATAGTTATAAAGCGAATGTTCTTGAGATAAGAGTACTAGTAACAGCAATTTCCTCTTAGGTTCTTGATTAACAAAAATACACGACTATAAATCTGCTACGTGAACTTTTGCCAAATCACTCTTCAACAAAGCAAATCTGCAGCAAGAAACACAGTGCTATCTTGAAACGTATGTTGTATGTTAGCTAATTACATCATAGTTTCTAAATCTTAGGAGTTAAACGATAGAATTTGTGGAACTATACGGTATGAGACACAAGTAGAAGTCAGACTTAGCTTGCTACATTGCCATTTTCAACATGAACAAGTGACGTATCATTGATCCAATCAGCATAAATGCGACCAATCTTCTCAACATCTTTCCACTTAAATTCCCACCGCTTCCCATCCACTTTTTTCTCACAAGTCATATCGACCCATTTACACGGTTCACCGTCTGCATAATCTTGTGCATCATTCGATCCTCGCTTCTGCAGTTCTGTGAATGGTAAAAGCAAGCATCAATCAACTAAACAGTGGATGTGGTGCCATTTTCTTGGAAGATTTTCAGACACTAAAACATTAATTAACACAATGCCGAAATATTAACCTCCACCAAAGGGGAGAAAGTTTCTAAGTAACATCTTCTTTCAGGTCAATGTTAGTAAGCAGAAAGGGGGAAAGAGCAAAATCAAGAAAGCCATATCATTTTACTTTAATCTACACAGCTTTTTTACTTCAATCTACATTCTTTCTCGATCAATCTGACAACCTCATATGTACAGAAACAGGACAAGCAATATATCAATAAAAATACCCTTTACATATCAAGATCATATTTGAGCATTGCATCAACGAAGAAATCACCTAAGTGTTCATTAGTTCAGCAGTATCCCAGTTACCAGTAGAGACCAGTCTCCCAATAAGTCAATGATTCAAATCTCATCAAAGGTGAGGAGTGTGCGTGAGTATTTGCTGTATATAAATATTGTATACTACAAAGAAATTTGGTGTTTTCACTCTTCCAAAGCACCCTTGCACTCTAGACAAAAATAAGGTGCCTTTGAGCACATGTTTTCTAGCCCCAAGTGTATCTTGTCTTCAACTAACAAATGGTCTGGTTAAAATCGTTACACTATGATCTTCAACGTGAACCATCGATGATGGTTCCTTATGAAGTGTATCTTGTCCTCACCATGAACATTCTTCCTAACGGTCTGGTTATAAACATTACACTATGATCTCCATTGTCAACAAATGATTATGGATTACGTATGACGTTGGAAATTATTTATGGATTACACTATGATGTCAACGTGAACCATAGATGATCTTCATTGTCAACAAACGATTATGGATTACTAATGAAGTTGGAAACGATTATGGATTACGTTATAGTCAACAAACGTCCCTGAACAATCTTCCTAATGGTCTGGTTATAATCATCACACGATGATCTCCATTGTTAACAAACGATTATGGATTACGTATGAAGTTGGAAATGATCATGCTACTTCATTGAAAATGTTGAGAAAAGCAAATACCTGATTCTCCATGAGCGAAGCAACATTTCAGACCAAATGCGCAGCTACCGGTTGACATCCACCTGTTACAAAGCCTTGTTTTCCATGGCGTCTGCTTATGCTGCTGCATCTGACCATTTCCAGCCACATTCACAATGCTTATAGCAACACTCTTCCTTTCAGTTCTGATATGATTGAAGTGACATCTATCCCCAAATTGACATTTCTCGCCATTCATGAACCTCCAGCACAATTTGGTTTTATCGCTACATCTAGGGTTTTGATTCTCATCCCAATGCTTGACACGAGAACTCTCATCAGCCCCAATCAGTTCATTCCTTCCATCGACTGTTCTAAGATCTCCATTGCCATGGACGAAGCAACAGCGATCACCGTGATCGTAGGTACCCCTTCGAAATCTCAAACACGGTTCAGTCTTGCATTGAGTTCTTCGATTGGGTAAGGGTTCAGATGATCTTGGTCTCTTTGGAAATTGGTTTTCCATCTAGAAGATGGCCATATACTGGTGATGATTACCTAAATGTTGAAGGAATTTGAATGTCGTTTTCTAGGGTTTATCATGAGCAACACTCGTTGATCATGGTGACAAATGGAACTACAACATGCTTGCCTAGTTATCTGACTTTTTATTATTAAAACATAAGTTTTTATAAAGAAAATAATGAGAGTTGCTTATTCGATTCGTTTGTTACTGAATTAATCGATTATCCGATCACTTAAATGTCTAAAATTTTACATCTTCAATATTAAAATGAAAATTTTGAAAGTACATTACCCAAAATAAAAATCAAATTAAAGTACATTTATTTTTCATGTAATTTGTTTATCCAAAATTTCCAAAACTTGACATGTTTGTTTGCAGTTTAACATGCTTAACGAGAATAGAAATCAAAAAAATTCAAAACATGTTCATCCCAATTATAAAACACATTTATTCCATTTATAAAAAAGACCATTTGAACAAAAACCTTCTCAATCTATACAGATAAATTAATACACACATATAGTATTTAATGAAAATCAATCAAATAGCTAATTATATCAATCGAATTATATAAAATATTTAAATTCCACTATAAATTCATTCTCATTTTGATACAAATTAATGCACACAGACATCTTTTTACATACAAAATTTAATGGAAAATCAATCAAACAACTGATTATATCAATCAAATTATATAAAAAATTTAAATTCAACTATAAATTCATTTTTATTTTAGGAAGCAAAATTACATAATTTTCGTTTTTATTCAAAAATAGTCCCTGTGGTTTGTAATTAACTACTATTTTCGTTATTGAGGCTAACTCCTACCTTTTTTAAACATGAAGGATGAAACAACGACGCGATATAAACCATAAGAACGAAAACAACAATAAATCTTAAATTTTAAGAACGAAAACAACAATAAATCTTAAATTTTAAGAACGAAAACAACACATAGAGATGAAAATCGTAATTTCAAAAGTATAAGGACAAAAATAGCAATTTTCAACAAACCATAGGGATGAAAACGTAATTTACTACTCCCTCCATACCAAAATAAACACCCACGATAAAATATACACACATAGTTCTAAAAATATGAAATTATTCCAATTTTACCCTTGATTATATAGAGATTTTCTCCGTCTGTTAATTAAAGATAGAATGAGAGTAGGATTTTACTTTTAAAAATGGACATTTATTTTGAGATAAACTAAAATAGTAACATAGACAATTTTTTCCAGACTCCTGGGTGATGCTTGTTTACTTCTTAATATTTTCATTAAGAGAGGGTCTCTGAATCGCTAAGAGGTGAATCTTGTTTGGCAAAAAAAAAGTTTACCTCTTAATGGTTCTAAAACCATCTGAATGATTTTGTATCTTGAGTGTTCTTTAACCATTCAACACTCTAATTTCATTCTGAATAATTACCAAATAATTATATTTCATTTTGTATTATATTATAAAAGCCTTTTAATCATTCTGCACCAAACCATTCATCAACCGTTAAACATTCCCTTAGGGAATATAACCACAACAATATCATAATTTTCTTTCCATTTGCTATAACCATGTTGCCATGGAGGAAACGGTACCATTTCAAAACTGCAACTTCGTTGAAAAATAAACAAAGGAGAAGTCTCAATTTACACTATTATTCGATAAAAAACCAAACGGACCACGTAAACCTTAGGATCCAGCCGGTGGGATCTACGCATATCGTGGGGTAGAGAGGTTGTTTCAATCACGACTGCATTTTAGATCGAAAAACCATCTCAATAATGTTGTCGTTGTTGTTACTCATGAACCAATCTGATCTTTACCAAAACTGGAAATAAGCCGTCTGCCGGAGGGCCGTCGAATGACCTACTGGAGCTTCTTGATCCCGGGAAAAGAAGGAAGAACTGCAATCAAAGCATCACCATATCCCACCGCATCTGTTGCATAAAGAATGGAGCGTGTCAATACACGTACAAGTACACTGAGATTAGTGACGACAATCAGTAAGAAGTAATTATGCGTACCACCATCTTCGCAAAGTATCTTGACAACTTCCCCCGCTACATCTGACTGAAAAAAGAACGGTCAAGCAGAAGATCACCACCAGCAAATATAAAACCAAACTAACCCAGTATATACCGCTCAAATAACAAATAGCAAATTAAGAGCATCCACAATGGTAAAGTTTTGTGATTAAAGCTTATTCCAAAAAAACTGCGACCCACAAGCTTAGGCAGTCAAGCAAAACAAAAAAGTGGGACCCACTGTGCAGGTACGAGCAAAAAGTGGTTTTCTATGACGCATCAAGATGAAAAGTGGGTCCACCACAAAAATAAATTGCGGGACCGCAGCTTTCAACACCGTAAGAAAAAGCAAGCCAAAGTCGCAGCTTGCGGCACCGCAAGAAAAAGTGTCTCGCAGCATTAACTTGTGATTTCTCGACTGTTTTGTCAAAGAAAAAGTTTAGAAGTGGCTAAAAATTAGAACTTTTTAGCCCATGTGGTTATTTATGATAGTAACCCCAAAATGTCTTCAAAAAGCTCCAATTGTGGATGCTCTAACAAACATATAGTTGGATGGATAAAAAACTTCAAGAAGGAAAAAGTGAAAATTTAAACCTCAATAGGGAGCTCGCCACCGAGCTGCTCGATGTAACAGACAACTTGCCCCTCCTTGACTATTTGTTTCTGTTAGAATGCAGTATTAGGTATCAGTTCAAGATAAGATGCACATGACCACAAATCAATCAAAGGCAGACTCCTAATTATAATTCTTCTTCTTTTTTGTAACATGGGTGTCCCCGCCAACTTGGCCCTGAAGATAACAGCCAGACTCAAAACGGTGACCTATGGGGAGAAGCCGCAAGGCCTCAGGATTATTATAATTCATATTGTAAACACCAAGAAAGGCTGATCATAGAAATTCATTCAGTGTAAATGCAGATATGCACTTTACGCTATCTTGCTGATGAAACGAACGGAAAAGGGTACCTCTTTGCATGGTGGAGGTGCTCGCTTCCCCTTAATGGTTCGAGATCTTCTAAAGTACCCAACCTGCATTCATTATTTGAATTTAATGGTCATAATAATTTGAGAAAGGAAAGTTACAGATGAATAGCAGGTTAAATGTACAGCTTCTTACTCTGGGAGAATAGATTATAGCCAATCCTTCATCTGCAGCTTTATCCAGCAAAGTCTGAACCCCACCTGAAGTAGGTGTAGCTTTGGTGATGGCTAGAGATGGTGATGAGGCTGACCCATTTAGTTCAGGTACCTCTGGAGTTGCATCAACAATTGAAGCAGATAACGGAGGGGGTAAACTTGTACTTTTTCCAGTCAAGTCTCTCATTACATATAGACGAAATCCACCAAGCTAATAGTAATAACAAATTTAAGTTACAAGTGAGAGTTGGGGGGATATACAGATAGATTGAATCATGATACTTGAAGGAATTTCACAGCTAAAGAGAACAAGTTCATAAATTCTCACTTTCAATTCAAACTCTGCAATTGAGGTTGTATCACATATTTCTGTCAGAAGAGATTCCACCTGTGAATAAGATTTAAACGAGTGTCAATCGTATTGTGTCCTGTATTAAAAATATACCCGCTCCATCCCACTTTAGGTGTCCATAGCGATTTTTGAACGCCAACATACTACTTTTCAACTTTGAACTAATTGAAGTATACAATATGCACCACAAATTGAGAAACTTTGCAATGAAAACGTTAAAGAATTCATGTTAATTTTAATCTTAAAAGATAGGTTTGAATTCCAAATGTAAAAAGGAAGACACCTAAAGTTGAACATAGTAGCATGGATCATTGATGAATCAGACAAAGAGAACGAAAAATCATCTAAATCGGGCTACATGCTAAAATTTTGTATACATGCATGATGCATGCAGCGTTAAATGACACGGGGGAATTAATTACATGGTAGGTGAGCAAGTCAAAATACCTCCAAAGCATTTGGAACAAGTCGGCTTGTTGATTCAGATGAATTTTCTACCTCTGACCAAGCTTCTGGATTTGTACTAGCTATTATGTTTGTCAATGGGAAATATGTGTATGGATTAGTTAATGTTGACATCCAGACCTTTTCAAATGACAGAGCAATATCATGACAACTAAGCACATTAGAGAAGCACAAGAAGTCCACATAAATCATATGGAAACAATATTTGTTAATTAAGGGGAAGTTCGACGAACACCCCCAAAACAGACTTTGTTTCGTCTGCTGAATAACTATGCATCATTTGCCACTCTTCTTTCTCTTTTTTTCTTTTGAAGGAGGGGTGGGGTAGATGCAAAGTTTCAAGTGTTAATTTGTAAGAAAAGTTCAATACACATGAATAATCTACTTTATCATTCAGTTTTATTAAAACCAGGTACTTACCACCATAACAGCTATATAGAATTTGAAGTTTTCAAGTAGGATCTTAGTATGTGACCTGTGACTATCTTCCATACTTAGAAGTTCAGTCCTTGAACGAATAATCATATACAAAGTTATTTACTTATTCCACTTAAAGGAGATCAAGCTTAGTTGCAACTCAATAGAGGATCATGGGGGTATGCAAATCTCCAAGCAGGGGGATGCAGGAATGTCCTATAAGTAGAGAAAAGAAACCATTCAGTGAAGTTTCTAAAACTGGTCAAATTGGCGAAAAAGACAACGACGGTAGCTATTAACACCCCCCCCCCTCTCTTCCCCCCTACTTCCCACCTTCCAAATCCAATACAGCAAGACTGTCTTTTGGGAAGGTCAGGGATCGGAACTGGAACTGGAGCAAAATTAGTTCATATTGTCAAACTAAGCAAGCTCCTCCTCATACCTTGATTCCATGCTCCCATACACTATGTAAATCTTAGGAGGAATAGAGGATAGATGTTCAAGCTTATTTCAATCCAAGTTGAAAAATCTTATGTATGATACAAACCAGCCAATAATCATTGATTTCACAAGAATAAGTAAAGAACATCCAAACTGGTTAGTGCTCAATAACTGTATGCATTAAAATCTTATCAAATTACTTGGATATGCATATGAACTATGTAACATCCCAGGCTAACCTTACTATATATTGTCCGCTTTGTCCAAACCTGGACCCAAGGTTTTAAAACGCATCTAATAGAGAAGGTACTCAGTCCCTTATAAGATAACCTTCCTTCACCTCCCCAACCGATGTGGGATCTTACAATCCACCCCCCTTGTGATCCCAGCATCCTCGCTGGTGTACTTTCCTGGCTCTGATACCGTCTGAAACATCCCAGTACCAAATATTGTCCTCTTTGTCCACACCTGGACTCACAGTTTTAAAATGTGTCTCATAGAGGAGGTATCTAGTCCCTTGTATTGTCCGCTCTGTCTACATCTGTTGCTTTGGGCTTTGGGGTGTTACAAACTATATGAATATTATAAATTTATTTCAACCTCAACTAAATACTATACTCCCCACTATCTTGAACAAAAACTGTAAAAAGTGATTCTACCTGAAACGAAATAAAAAGTGTTTTGACTAGTGTTCAAATATATAAAATCACAAACAGAAGAAAGTATTCTAAATTTAACTGATTTTCAAATTGATGTGGATATTATAAGATAATGACAACGAGAGAAAATAGGAAGCATTGCAAATTTGTAATAAATATCAGCTATCAAGAAATTGAATTTACTTCCATTAGAATACCAACCACATTGCTTACATTGGGCATTTTTTGCAGCCAAACACAGATACCGAATTGATCCCTTACACGAACGTTGAGATAACACCAAACCACCAAACCGCGTAAAATTTGGGACTTTTATGCCATGTAACGGTAGCACTGAAGAAGCTGGTTCAATTCTAGCAGCACCTAACCTCAAGTTGGAAATTGAACCCCCATAACTACCTGGTACAGTGCAAATCATTCTCAAGTTACATCATTTCTCATGAGCATTCATGACTTGTTCGCTAACAAATTCATAGTAATTACAATCTTAGAGCCCTAATTACCAATTTTCCGTATCAAACATGAGAAATTATGACAAATAATGCATCGATTTAGGGTTGCATACTTGTACAATTACATAGAGAGTGTCGTGACTTACAGGCAGCCATGGAATGGTTTATGGACGACGAATTGACGCTGAGATTGAAGTGGGGCTGTGAATATCAATGCGAGGAAGGCTGGAACGGATCTGAACTCCGGCTTCGGGTTATCTTCCATGGCCCACCTATCTGTTTTGGGCTCCGAAAGCCATATGTATTTTTGGGCTTTTTAATATCATTTTTAGGCCCATCGTTGTGAGTTAGCTCGAACAAGTACATTTATGGGTTGTTTGTTTATCTCTTAATAATTATATTAAGATGTAGCATCCGAATCGTTAAGAGGTGAATTTTGTTTAACCAAAAAAATATTTGTCTTTTAATGGTTCTAAATTTCTCTGAATGATTTTGTATCATAAGTCTCTCACTCTCCCTTAACCATTAAACGCCCTAATTTTGTTGTAAATAATTACCAAACAATTATATTTTATTTTGCACTATATCATAAGTGTCTCTTAATCATTCTGACCATTTAACCATTGCACTAAATCATTCAACAACTGTCAAACAACACCTTAGGCCCGTCTAATTCATAAGATTTGATATGAATTTTTGTTTGTTTTTGAAAAAATTATGTTTGATTCATCAAGATGTAAAGCCATTTAGACTGTTTATTTTTTTTCAATTTTTTAAAGGCATTTATGTCTTATTGCATTTTTATCTGATAAGAGGTGACTCAACCTCTTATTTACTTCTTATTGTTCTTCAAACCCTCAGCAACGACGTTTTTTAATCGATTAACCTTAATCGATCAATTCTCTCAATCAATCATTACCTCTCTCAATTGATGTGTTTTAATATGATTTAAACGTGTTAAATACCGTTAATCGTATAGTTTTATTTAAATGAATGTTAATTATATAATTTAGAAGTAGATTTCATCATGATGATGAATACATATGTGAAATTATATACATTTATTTATAAATTCAACATTATAATCTTAATGGGTAAAATAGACAATCTACACAAATTCAAACATACATCAGTTTACATTAACAGACAGTCTTACTAATTCAGATTTCAGACTTCCGCACCACCTCTTACCAATCAAAAGTGAAATAAAACTTCAGACTTCTACACCTCTTAAAAAACAAACGTCACCTTAGAATCGAGTTACATTTCAATTTCGAGTTTGAAATGTAATATATAATATAACTATCATGGTTTGCAAAAATGTCCAGATTTCAGATTTGATCTTTCCTAATAATGGCCGTTAAATGAGGGTCATTCTCATTATTTTAATGTCTGTTACCCAATCAAGAACCACAAGAATCGAAATCGATTAAAATCATAAAATCGATTTTAAAAGACAAAAAAATTGATAAAACGACAAAATATCTCATTTTTAACAAAATCTTTAATGGCTATTAGAGAAAATATGGACATTTTTTGTAATGATGCCAATCTTATAATTTAACCATAAGGATGGTGTTTGATTGGTTTGAGCTTGACTTCAAATGTCAAAAGTATCAGGAGGTACCAAGTTCAAATCCAAGAAGGAATAAAAATCCCTTCGTGGCCACAGAGGTTCAAATACGACGACTCCGGGCTATCTGCAAAGCAGGTGATCGCAGAGTTGGTTGGATATAGAGGTTAATAAAAAAAAATTATAATTTCAAAAGTGCATATACTCAAGTGTTACTTTCAAACAAAAAGAGACCAAGTTTATAGTTTCCTCAACCGTAAGGGTGGTACCCGATCTGTTTGAGCTTGGTCTTCAAAGATCAAAAGTGTCTAGAAGTCTCACGTTCGAATTAAAGGAGAAATAAAAACCCATTTGTAGTCATGGAGATTCAAATACGATGACTCCAAACTACCCTCAAAGCGAATGGTCGTCCTATGATTATTTAGCTCATATAAGCAGGTTGTATATTCAGGTTAATAAAAAAAGTTATAGTTTACTCAAAAAATAAACTATAGATTATCAAATGGCCTTTGGCTTAAAGGTATGTGAGTAATTGACCTCCTAGGATGAAAAAGGTTCAAACCTCACCAAAGACAAGAAAAATATGTGAGTTTATTTGTTCTATTTGTTGTATATAAATATTATGTAATTCAATAATAAATTAAACAATGAAAAGATGTGGTTTTTGTTTATTTTGGAGTAAAGAGCACATTAAATCAAAATTTTTGGCAATTGAACATAATTCTATGAATTCATGGAAATCAAACACCTTCCCTAGGGTGTTCTATTTTGAGGGCGTGTTACTCCCAAAGGTGTTTTTCACCGCTCCGGCAGCACCCTCGGCTACATTTGCCGCTCCCATTGCCGCCCCTCGTGCTATACCCGCCACACCACTCGCTGCACCCCCAGCCACGTCCGCTGCACCGTGTGCCATCGTCTTCACTGAATCGCTAGCCTGCTACACCCAACCTTCAATTTAGGTTTTTTTTGCTATTCAAACCAATTGTAGATTAATATTCTAATTGATTGATCGCTGCTATAAAGGTGCGTTCGGTACAACTAGATACAATATAACAACGTAAAAAGGGGATCACTATTTAGCAAAATGGAACAAAAGTGTTTCACCCCTACCCCTAGAACAAGCTGGAACAAACTTATATATACCAATATAACCTCAAAATAAAACATAATTTTTATCTTTACATCTAATTCAATTTTTTAAATTTTATTTATCGTATGTTACATTTATCTGAAATTTCACTTTATTGTCAAGTGTAAAAAATACTTTTATATTATTTATATTTTTATATTTTAATTAATTTATATAATTTATTAAATAATAATAATAAAAAAGACGTAAAATAAAAAATTAGAAACTACAAAAACTTTTATTTTTGTGCCATTTCACGATAGTTTGCTATAAAAGATATTTATTATAATTAATAAGTTACATAATTAATCAAGATATAAAGAAATAAACAATTTATTAAAAATAAATTGATCATTTTATCTATTTTATTTTGTTCAGTTTTGTCTACTAAACGTTAAACAACTTTTCTGTTTTATGATATCCTGATACCAAACGCGCTTAAATGACCGTTTACTAAACACTTACTGGTAAGTGTTTACCGGATAAAATTCTTTATCAGATGAATATGAAAAGAACCAAGAATCTTATTGGGTAAGAGCAATGAGAATAATAAAGAGTCTTACCCGGTAAGTGAGGATGATGACTCTTACCTAAGTAAACGTTTACTCAATAAATTTGTTGTATTTGATATGTTTTGACGTATTAAAATCTTGCTAGTTTTGACTCATATCGATAAGAACTTACCAGGTAAGCAATTGGGTAAACGGCCCCTAAATAAATATGAAATTTGCAGAAATTAATTCGATATGCAGATCCGTTGATTCTGAATCTAATACCTGATCCAAGAAGCTAGCATTTTGGCTCGGTTCTTGGTTCGATGCTGCATCTCTATGCAACTGCACATGTCTCACACGATCATATATATACACACACACACACACACACATATATATATATATATATATATATATATATAAAAGAATTAGGAATTGAAATTAGAAAGACGGCCGGAGAAACCGTCGGACGGCGGTGATCGGAATACCTGAGATTGATCCAAGGAGGCTTGGTTTTGTTGGTTCGCCATTTTTATCTCTCCCCTTTTTGCAGTAAAATTGCAGGTGTTTGGTATGGAAGAAAGGTGGAAGGGGTACTAATTTATAGATGTTTCTAGAACTAATTGTTTCTAAAATTGTGAACAAAATGCATGGCTTCGACGACACGTGGCAGATGATGGTGACACGGCTTTAGATAAGGCAATGTCGACGGAGATATGTTGCGATGCACAAAATACAACGAGTCACTTTCGATAAAGAAAATCTCAAAAGGGAAATAACCGAAATTATAATATAAAAACAAATTTACCTTTTAATATTTTTAAAATCGAATTTATATTTTATTTAAAATAATAAAACAGTTTTTAGATTAAAGAAAGGATTTTTTTTTAAATATAAATTACATAAAAACAATGTACTTTAATTTGATTTCTATTTTAGATAATATATTTTTAAAACTTTCATTTTGATATCTAAAATGTAAAGTTTTAAATATTTAAGTATCTGAATAATAGGTTGAAAACTAATTTTAGATTAAAAGATTCATGTTACTAACTACGTCAGCAAATAAAACTGAGTTGGATACAACATCACTCGTCATATCAGCATAACACATAGAGTTTATCAAGCTTCTTTTACTCGGTCAGTGATTAATGATGATGCAAACCATATTCTTAATCACTAAACATTTATTCAATTTGTACTAGGTCAGTGATTAATAAAGCGCTTATTAAATCATATTATATTACCGGATGAATATGACAAAGACCAAGAATCTTACTCGGTAAGATCGAGACAAAGAACAAGAGTCTTCCTGGTAAGTGAAGGCAACGGCTCTTTTCACGGTAAAAGCTTATCAGGTAAGTTATCGCATACAGTGCCGTTTTGGTGGATAAAAATCTTACTCGGTAAGTAAGTAATAGTGTTGAATTTTACAGATAAACACTTATCGGATAATTTTGTGTTAAACAGCCCCTTACTCTTGCCCGATTAATGATTTCCTAATTAATTATCGGACTTCCACATCATATTTTAAAGATCCATTTTTTTGTTTATTTTGAAGTAGAGTAGATTGCATTAAATAAATTTCCAACATTACATCAAATAAAAGGAAATCAAATAACAATCCTTGAGATTCAGAGCTACTTCGCGGGTGGGTCTTTCGTAAAGGTGTTTTTCACAGCACCAACGGCACCCTCGGCTAAGTTAGCCGCTCCGGTTGCCGCACCTTGTGCAAAACCCGCCACACTATTCGCGGCTCCCCCAGCCATATCTGATGCACCCTGTGCGGCCGTCTTCACTGAATCACCGGTCTACATACACCCAATTATTTCAATTAAATCTAGGGCTTATTTGCTATCAACATCAACTGCTATAATTAAGTATAAACTTGAAGAAATTCGACATCCAAAATCTAATTACCTGATCCAAGAAGCTAGGACTCTTGGCCGCATCTTTCTGTGTCACCGCCGGTTACAGATATAAGACGAAAAAATGTGAGGTCGAATTGAAGTTAAAATTAGAAAGATGGGAGTAGGGGCGTTAGCATGCCGGTTTGGATGATTTGACAATTTTTGAAACAGACCATGTGTTGACGTCTGAAGTCTTATTTCACTTCTGATTAATAAGAGGTGGTGCTAAAGTCTGAAATCTGAATCAATAAGACTGTGTCTGAATTTGTTTAAATTGTTTATTTTACCTATTAGAAAATTATAATGTTAAATTTATAGAAAAATTTGTACAATTTCACATATTTATTCATCATCTTTACTAAATTAAATCTAAATTATATAATTAGCATTCATTTAAATGAAAATACGTCATTAACGGTATTTAACATTTTTAAATTCTATTAAAACACATCAATTGAGACACATGAGGATCGATCGAGAGAAATGATCGATTGAAAAACGTGGTTGCTAACAGTTTGGAGAACAATAAGAGACAAATAAGAGGTTGGTTTACCTCTTATCAGATAAGAAGGGAATAAGACATAAGTGCTTCTGAACAGTAAAACAGTTTTTTGAAACGCATGAAGAGAAAATGGTGTTTGTAGTACCTGAGATTTGTCGTCTTTGCCGAACATGTTCATGTTGATCTTTGTGCAGTAAAATTGCAGGTGAGGTGTATGGAAGTAAGAAGGAAGTTTGGAAGGTGTATTTATAGATCCTTCTAGAATTAATTATTAATAAAATTATGTGATTAAAAATAAAAGCTATGGCTGGGAATTGTTGACACGTGGGTGCAGTTGATAGGGTAACGTCGACGGGAACATGTTGTGGTGCACAATGCACAACAAAACAAGCCTATGTCGATCATCCAAAATTAAAAAGGTTTTTTTTAATTTTCAAGGATATTATTTTTAATTTTTAAAGTTGATTATTTATGTTTGTTAATTCTCAACGGTTTTAGTTTTTTGTTTTATAAAATAAATTACATGAAAAAATAACTTACTATAATTTAATTTTTATTTTGGTAACTTATTTTTAAAACTTCTATTTTGGTATCCAAAATGTAAAATTTTGAACATTTAAACATCCGGGTAACCGGTATAAGCATTAACCAGTTACCATGCTGATGTGACGACTAATGTGATATCCAACTGAGTATTATTTACTATTCAACTTAACTTCATCTCATCACTCGTCATACCAACATGATAATCGGTTTAATATTTCAAACAGTCACCCGGGTACTTAAAATTATAAAACTTTACATCTTAAGTATCAAGATGAAAGTTTTAAAAGTACGTTACCTAAAATAAGAATCAAGTTAAAGTACGTTATTTTATCATGCAATTTACCATTTTCTATAACGTTTTTTTATTAAATCTAATTAAATGAGAGATATTTTAGTTGTTATCACTATTAAATGTATTATGTTTTTAGGGGTTAAATCAAATGATAATCACAAAAAGGTTACGAACATTATGAAAACTGATTTAAAAATAAACTTTTAAATGATTTTTTTCCATCAAATAATAGGATTTAAGATATTGATTCCCATATATTTGTTTCATAATGTAATAATTTCACATGTATTTATTTCATTATACGAAGACATGAGTGAATCAAAAAAAAAGTTTCACATGTAATTTTTTTTCATAAGGTGAACATAAATATATGTAAAACAATATGTTAAATCATAGTTTTTGATCAAAAATAATAATTTAAAAATATATTTTTACATCGGTTCTCACATGTTTGTAACCTTTTTATAGTTCTCATTTGATTATCGTCCTTAATACTGAACTGTAAAAAAACCCCTAAAGATGGTAGTTATTCTTTTTATTTTTGCTTCACTATTTAAAACTAAAAATATAATTTTTTTAAATTTTAATATAAAATTAAAAAAACAGTGAAAATGATTAAATTACCCCTCATTTAACTATATTTAACAAAAAAAGTTAATAACCGTTAAACAAAAGAACCTAAACCATTAGGAATTAACAAACATGACGGACAAAATCCGAGTTTTTAAATCAAAAACGTTATTGAATAAGACCTTATGTTGGTGTAAAGTCATGGTTCTAAATTGCTTGTTATGGCCTCGTTACAACACGTTATGACACCAAGGCTTTGGTTCGACGCGACGATAACCCATGTGGTTGCACTCTAAGGCTTGACTTCCGTTGTAACGCGTTACGATGTGTCAGGGCACGCTATTTTGTAAAGCATGGATTTTTCTGACTTTTTTAACATATAACTTGAAGGATAAATAATAATTATGTACAACACCTAAAACTTAAATAAATATTAAAAGGAAAAATAAGACTAAAACCCTAAATAGATATGTCCTTGCTCTCATTCATGTGTACGGTGATGTGAACATGAATTCTTTTAAGATTGAAAAAAGTAGTAAGGACTTAAAGAGATTTAAATCCCAATTTTATACGTTTGATATCATTTTTTTATAAGCTCGATATATTGATATAAATGGTTTATATTTCATTTTTAGTTTTATAACTTTATATGAATTTAAATTGTTATACAAGATTATCTAAACACTAAAACATATACATATACATATACATATACATATACATATACATATACATATACATATAGACTCATGGTTTTTATAAAGCGTCTGGTAGAGGAGGTATTCAGTATCTTATAAGGCAGTTCCCCTCCCCAACTGATTTGGGATCTTACAGGTGTTGCTATGCAGTTATACGAAGTCTTTTTTGCAGAACACCTGTAGCCAATACATTCAATGCATATTTGTCTAATTAATCATCAGAATTGATACTGCTATGAACTTTGAATAATCACAGTTCCCTTGCAAATTGCAAACAATGCCTGCATCATCCTATTCTGTAAACATCCTATTGCTTAATGTAGCAAACGAGCAATGCTTCCAATGTTCAAGAGAAATGAATTCAAATATCTGATGTAAATTCCCTTTTCCAACAAAATCAAAGTATGTGTATAGCCTATTTCTCATCAGCATAACAAAGGAGAAGAACAACAAAGATTAAAACGGAAATCAATCGATCAATCAACCAAATAATGTGAGAAAAGACACACAAATCGACAGACGAAAAGAGAAACAGGTAGAAGTTTCGCAAAAGGAAAGCATACCTGTAGGCTGTTAGAAGAAGGCTTGATTGCAAGAGGCAAAGTAGAGAAGTCGTCGGAGAGACGTCGTCCGGACTCCGGCGAGAAAAGAAAGGAGAAGCATAGAAAGGCGTCAAGGCTGCACACCGGCGGTCTATGGCTAATAGCCCATAGGCCAGAGCCGAAGGCAAATACAATGAACCAACTCCCAAGAATTTGGGCTAAGTAAATGGCCCATATTACCATATTCTTTTTTCTAAAGCCCAAAGGCCCATCTAACTACCTTCTAAATTGTTGTGTTAAAAAAGGCCCATATCACCCCATTTCTTTACTTTTTTCTTTTTATAAAAATCGCAAAATCGAATTGAACTTCGTTAAACTTATAAAGCTCAGGGGGTGTTTGGGATTACTTATAAAAACAACTTATTGACTTATTTCAGTGTGGCACCGGTACTAAGCACTTTTGAGTGTTTGGATCAACAACTTATACCGGTAATAAGAAGTTTTTGAAGAAGTTAAACCCTTCTGACTTATAATAAGTTAATAAGTGCTTTTGTAGAAATAAGTTGTTTCAAATAAGCAATCCCAAACACCCTCTAAGCTTGAAATTGAAGTTAATTTTAACTTAAAATTATAAAACGAACATCTGGTTCGAACCGAGCGAAAACTCGAATCGGCTCGTTAACATCCATGGCGGCTGTGGTTCACTAAGTTAAAGATAGACATGTATAAACAAACAAAAGGCTATTACCATCTAAAGTCAATATCACATTACAATCTTAATGAAATCCCAAAACTCAAATTATCAAACAACAAATTCCCATCTAAGAACCAATAATCCCGACACCCGACCCCCGAAATTCTTTATTTTATAACAACGAACTTATAAAACAACGTTATATATATTATATGTATACCATCCAATCGCCACCGAAGCCCCTCTACAGCTCTACTTATTTCTCCCAACTCAAAATCCGTGTAATTCTCTAGTCATTCTTGGGTTATTGCTCTTCCCTGCCGTTGCCATACGCGTAAAACTTGATCAAGATTTCGATAGATCTCAGGCTCCAAGCCTTGCATTTAGCCACTGACACACTTCTTCCATCTCCTTAGGGACCGTATAGTGACCAAGCCTGCAAAATCACATCACGAACCTCAAAATCTTCGCGTTTTTAGGGTTCTAAGCTATGTGGAATAGGAATACATAGTTCTAATTTCATACCCCTCGTAGCTTTTGAATGAAACATATCGGAATCCAGCTGAACTCATCATCTGGGAGGACCTCTCTCCGTAACCGTATGGGACTACTTCATCACCTGTAATGCATACAGGAATCGGCATAAGCTTAGCTGACACTGGTAAAGACAAAACCAAACAAACCCAGTATATCCCATCCTATAGTGGGGTTTGGGGGGATATGATGCATGTAGACCTGATTTCTACCCCAAAAAGTAGAGTGACTGATTCCATGTTGATTTCTATATCACTTGTCAGCGTCAGCTGATAGCTAATGCTAGCAAAAACCAAACCAAACGATCCCCGTATATCCCTGAGATGGGATTGGGATCATGATGTATGCAGACCTGACATCTACCCTAAATAGTAGAGTGACATGTCTTGCTAACAGATGCAGTTGTCGGCATCTGCTGGCAAGTGAGGTAGAAATTAGAACCAAGTTTGAAAAGCATACAGAGTCCATGACAGAGCAAAATGGGCAACGAAGCAGCACGTCTTGCAGCATCGGTTGATCCTCCTATCTTGTTCCTTAAGTTCCTGCATTGATGTATATATATAGAACCAACATCATGCTTTTATCATTTCAAATTTCCAGCAACCGGCACAAAAAATCTTTCGTGTTTTTGCCATCGGATTATGAGTAAGATGCGGAATTCAGGAATCATACCGTGCACCAGGAAGCCACCCGCTCAATCCAACGACAGCCTTTAAATTAATTGGGTACGGGTTGCCATTTCCATATTTTCCCTGAGCAAAACAAGCTGCAGAGTAAAGAGCACATGCAGCACCCATACTGAATCCTCCGATACCAAGTTTAACTGTCGGGAAAAAAACAAGAAAATCGCTGAGGGGCTGTTGTTATCTTTTCATTACATCCTATATGGATAAAGTTGTCTGTTTAAATTAATTTGTCTGTCTGTATAGACTGGAAAGATTTTTGTTTGGGATGGTTTTTTTGTAGATGGAAGGAACTTGTTTTTTAATTGGGAGGGGCAAAATTGGAAAAAAAACTTGACTTTCTGCATAAAGCTCCCCCTAGAAACTTACTGAATAAGCCACCTTCTATATCATTAAGCCACTACCAAAGAGTCATGTATAACTGACCAAATAAATTGTATGTCCCGTTAAGCTCATTAAGCTGCTAACAAACATACTTTGAGTTCCATAACCTTTTAAAGAATTGAACCCAATGTACGAAAGAAAAAAGAAAACGGATTTGGGTGTAGCGAAAATTACCATCAGAGGGCTCTGTTGATAACAAGTTTGCTATGTGAGCTATTGAAGCATCTAAACCTTCCACATCGTTTGGACCGTCTTCTGAAAGCTCTCCTTCATCAAACCCTGTCACGAACCAGAAAATGTCGATAAATTTCATAATTTTACTTGAATTTAAAGAATGTTTTAATGATTCAATCTTGATATGATATATTACATGCAGCACAAGGGAATCCACCGAGGGCAGTCACTGGGCGAGTAGGAGCAGTTGGGCATATCCATTTAATCTGCAAAAATGTAACAGTTTTAGAGTCACCGAATGCCATTTTAAGGAAAAGAGCGAAGAACGAAAAGACAAAAGGCTGATATATGCTTACATTTGGAAGAGGAAGATTATCCAAAAGTTGTGACCAACTGCAATGCAACAAAAAGGGCATCAAGATTTGGTGCTAAACCATAATGATCCAAAAAGAAATCTTTACAACATAATGATGAACATGATATACTACAATTCCATGGATGAAATTGCTTCAAGAAACAAGAAGAAAAAAATGTACGAATGTATGTTACCTAGAACCATTATCACCAAGGCCATGCAACCAAACTATGGTTGCTTGATGCTTTGCTTTTGGCCTCACAACATATGTCCTCCCGAATTCAACAGTCCTCCTAGCAGTTCTACTCCCTGGAATTCATTGAAAACTTTTATCAAACACTTAGTGTGCAACATTTCATTGATTAAGAAACACCCATTCCGAATCATTGATTAAACAAAACACGAAGGAGAAAATGGAGTTTGAACTAACCAGAACCCATAGAAGCACTTGAATAACTCATCTTAGACATGATTATATGAAACAGTTTGAGAAGGAAATGCACTAATGAAAACCACCACCACCACCACCGTCAGAAGCTTGAATGAATTCAAAGATGAACTGCAATATGAAGAAACACCTTGGTTGGGGGAGTCTTAATTTATAGGCAAAATTGAGAAGAGAATTTAAAACAAGTGAATATTCAAAGATTAATGTGTGAACCAGCTACACAATGTGCCTAAAATCCAAAAAGAAACAATGGCATCCATGGAAAGGAGAGGTGAAAGAAAGGGGGAAAAGCAAGAAATCTTTTTGATTATGGGAAAGATAAAGATGGAAAGAGAAAGCGAGAATCAAAATGGAGAAAAAAACACACAGAGGGCACAAAATCAAGAAACCCCACTTCAGGAAATGAGAATTGAGGGCTCAAAAAACACTGGAATCTATGCTTTGGTGGTGCAGTGGACATTTAAAAATCAATCAAAAACCCCCCCAAGAATATTACTGCAAAAATGACAAGGAACAATCCAATTTGGTAAACCCTAATTTTCAATTCTTCAATCATTTGTTTATACAATTTCTATTCATGATTGATGGATACCCATTATCTTCAAAGTGAAGTTCAATCGTCTAATTCGCAATCATTACCGTCTGTGAGTAATCAAGAAACTCAAGAACAAACGAACAAAACCCCACCTTCAATTCAGGGTAAAATCGAGACATTAATTCGTAAAGATTGATGCAATGATGATGAGGGTTTTTGTTTGTTTATGTGTTAATTTACAACCCACGAGCAGAGAAGCAGACCAGGATGCAGAATTCAAAGGGCATCTTTTTGTGTACCCCCTTTTGGTTTTAAATTTCAAAATTCCCATTTCATGTCCACCTTCTTGCTCGTTTTTTGGTACATTCCCCGTGCCCATTTTTTGGAACTACTGTCTCTATTTTTTTGTCCCTTTTTTTTTTCAAAAAAACATGCATGATTCATCCTTTTTTTAATTTTTATTTAATAAATTAATTACCACTTAATGACAAAAAAAAAAAAATACTCGATGACGTCCAAATTCGATCGAAAATGTTGAATATGTTATCGTGTTGTCAAACATGCTGTCTGTCTTTCTAACCGCTACTTCGTCTGTATTAAATAGAGTGTCTACGTTTTTATTTTAGTTTGTCTTAAAATAAGCCTTTAAAGAAATAAGTTTTCATTTTCTCGTTTTACCCTTAATTATAAAACTAGTTGTGTACCCGCGCAATGCGGCGGGATCCATGAATTTTAACGATTTTGAAGTTCCACTGGTTTTATAAGATAAGATTTAACGATGATATAGGTTGCACTTGGTCTTTACATATTAATACAATTTGAATTAATAAGAGTTATGGTTCCAATTACAGACTATCGATGAAAAAAATTGTATGACAGTATATTTAAAATCCAACATATTTAAACGACTCCACAAATGTATTCGATTTACACCAAGAGCAAAGAACCAAGAAACTTGA